GCAACCTGGCGAGGCCTCATCTCTACAGTAAATCAAAAATTAGCCGGGTATGGTAGCACATGTCTATAGTTCCGGCTCCTTGGAAGGCTGGGGTGGAAGGATCGCGGGAGCCCAGCAGGTGGACGCTGGGCTGGTCGTGAGTGGGCCATCACACTCCAGCCTGGCGATGGAGTGAGACTTCAACTCAAAAAAAAAAAAAAAAAAATCACAACAGCCAGGAATGGTGGTGCACACCTGTAGTCCCAGCTACTCAGGGCCGAGGTGGAAGGATCACCTGAGCCCAGGAGGTCGAGGCTATGGTAGCCATGATCGTGCCACTGCACTCTAACCCAGGCGACAGAGTGAAACACTGACTCAAAAAAAAAATTATATGAAATAAAAACTGTAGTGAGAGTACCTACAGTTTGTTGGAATAAAGCCATGCTCATTCCTTTCTGTGTTGATCGTGGCTGCTTTCGTGCCATCACAGTGACCTGAGTAGCTGCAACAGGGACCGAGTGGCCCACCAAGCCTCAAATCTGGACTACGTGGGCATTTATAGAAAAGGTTGGCTAACCCTGGTGGTAGCATTCCCAGGAGCAGCAGGTCTTAGAAGAGTGAACAGGGGAGGGTCAGATAAGGTATGTGATTATCAAATCATAGAAGATTGATAATAATTAATAATCCCCTACTCATATGTGGCACAAATAACAGTAGGAAAAAATACAGAAGGAGAAGCCCAAAAAATGAAAAACGAAGAGACAGAGAAAATAATAACCAATGGCAGAAAAGAGAAAGCGTTGACATTTTGTGTAATGCTAGCAACCGCGAGATTATCAGCATGTGTATAATTGCACTAGTTGAAACTAAAAGTGTCTATGCAATTTCTATTAAGTATGGGAGGCACAGGGACTAGAATTACCAATTCTGCTCATATGAAAGTATCCCTACTCACAATACACAGTGAATAAGGCACACCTTGGGGAGAAATTTCCTTGGAGTCTCACATCATGTGAAAACATTCATGCAAACACTCAAAAAATGCAAATTTTAAAAGATACCGCTTATATTAGCTTCAAAACACATGAAATGTGTAACAATAAATCTTTTTCTAAAAAAAGTAAAAGATCTGGCCTGGCATGGTGGCTCAGCCTGTAATCTCAGCATTTTGAGAGGCCAAGGCAAGAGGACTGTCTGAGCCCGGGGGTTCGAGATCAGCCTGGGCAACTTGGTGAGATCTCATCTCTACAATAAATAAAAAACAATAAGCCGGGCATGGTAGTGCATGTCTATAGTTCTGGCTACCTGGAAGGCTGAGACAGAAGGATCGCCAGAGCCCAGCAGGTCGATGTTGGAGTGGCGAAGAGCGTGCCATCGCACTCCCAGCCTGGGCAACCTAGAGACTCTGACTCAAAAAAAAAAGTAAAACATCTTTACACAGAAAACTAAAATACTTTATGGAAGGAGATGTAAATAAAAGGAAGGTATACTATGTTCACGGATCAGAGAACTCAGTATCATGAAGACGTAATTTTCCTTAAAATAATCTAGTCAGTGTCATTCCAACTCAAATCCTAACACATCTGTTTTGTAGAAATAGATAAGCTGATTCTAAAATTTACACAGAAGTATAGTGTGTCAAAAATAGCCAAAACTCTCTTCAAGAACACCAACACACCAAGCATCTTGCCACATAGATAACAAAAGTGGTCATCCTACAACAATTTTTTTTTTTTTTTGAGTGGGAGTCTCACTCTGTCACCCAGACTGGAGTCCAATGGCCGCTCCCAGCCACCGCAGTCTCGACCTGCTGGGCTCCGGTGATCCTTGCATCTCAGCCTTCCAAGTAGCTGAAATTACAGGCGTGCACTACCACGCCCAGCTAATTTTTGATTTATTGTAGAGATAAGGTCTCGTCAAGTTGCCCAGGCGGGTCTCGAACCCACGGGCTCAGGCAATCCACTCACCTCGGCCTCCCAAAGTGCTGGGATTACAGGCTGAGCCACCGAGCCCAGCCCTACAAGAATATTAAAGGCACGTTCTGATCAAGAGAATAGAACCAATAAAAAAATGGCACAGGGACGTTTTCAAATAGAGATGCCTGACGATGGTGCGAGCTGGCACCACAAATCCGTGGGGAGAGAAACCAACTTTCTAGTGAGTGGTCCTGGGACAACTGCTTGTCCACATGGAGAAAAAAAGGAACGAGTCTTCCACCACGTGCTCTACGCGAACATCAACGTCTGGGGAACAGAGGACTTCAGGGAAAAGGCAAAACGCCAGTGTAGAGGAGGGAAAGATGGGTTACAAGACACAGAAAACATCAAAGATCAATAAAATCAGCTTAGGAAAATGGAGACTTCTTCACTCGCCAAAAAGTCATTTTAAAAAAGAGAGAAACTACCAGCCACAAACTATAAGAAGCAGCAAGAACTTGTGATAATACCCTACGTGTGCTTGGACAAAGCTTCCCATTTTGCAAAATGTTGCACTTAAAATAACATAGCTTATGAAAATGGAGATTTGAGAAGGACATCTCAAAGTCATGTAACTTTTTTTTTTTTAGATAGGGTCTTGTTCTTTTGTCCAGATTGGAGTGCAGTGTGTGATCATAGCTCACTGCAGCCTTGACCTCCTGGGTTCAAGTGATCCTCCCACCTCAGCCTCGCAAGTAGCTGGGATTACCGGGCATGCACCACCGTGCCCAGCTAACTTTTTTTTTAAGAGACGACTATGTTGCCCAGGCTGGTCTCGAACTCCTGGACTCAAGCAATCCTCTCATCTTGGCCTTCCGGAGTGCTGAGATTATAGCCAAACACCACCATGAACAGATAAAAAGCACGTAACTAACAAAAATAAGAATCATCCTAACCATAAAATTAGGTCGCACTAAAGGCCAGGTAACCTACCTAGCAAATACTACAGTAAACATAGAACTTATTTTTCTTAAACAAAAATGAAAAGATGAAGATAACTTGATGGAGAAGACTATGAAGAAGGATTGTGACTGCTTAATACGGACAAGGGAAATGGCCAAGGATAGAGAGGTCCGGACATACACACTTCAGGACACAGTGCATGCTGGAGGTCGCCACAGGAAGCACGCGGGGGAAACGCCCATGCGGTGTTTCCCATCAGCTCCCATCGGCTCAGTCAGTGTCACTGCACTAAGGTAGCTTGTGACCAGCTGCTGTCACCTGGTGTCAAATATTCACAAGTCAGGGAAGCTCAGAGGAGTCAGGACCACCCTGCAGACATAAAGGCCCTACTTTTCAGCTGCCTGAGAACTCCCTCACACAATGGAAGCTTGCACTTTAAACTGACACAGTGCATTTAACAAGTAACTAACCGAAATCAATAAAAAAAAACAACCACAAGCTGGGCATGGTGGCTCACACCTGTAAGCCCAGCACTTTGGAAGGCCAAGGCAGGAGGATCGCTTGAGCCCAGGAGTTTGAAATCAGCCTGAGCGACATAGTGAGATCTTGTCTCTACACAAAAAAAGTCAAAGAATTTAACTGGATGTGGTGGAACACACCTGTAGTCCCAGTAACTCAGGAGGCTGAGGTGGGAGGATTGTCTGAACCCAGGAAGTTAAGGCTGCGGTAAGCCATGATTATACCACTGCACTCCAGCCTGGGTGACAGAATAAGACTCCAACTCAAACAAAAAAAAAACTCCAAATCACTAGAGGGGGAAAAAAACAGAAAACTGGGCAAGACACTTCAGCACAGATATAAGGATCTCCAAACGCCTAGAAAACTTGTGTAAAATTCTTAAGTTCGATGGCTGTGATGGTCAATTTGACTGGGCCACCAGGTGTGCTGACATTTTGTCAGACACTATTCTGGGAGTGTCTATGAGCACGTTTCTGAGTGAGGCTAACACTGAAATTGGTAGAGACTGAGGAGATTGCGCTCCCTCGTGTAGACGGGACTCATCTAATCTGATGAAGAACTGATGAGAACAAGGGCTGGCCTGCTTCCAACTAGTCAGAGGGGCCTCACCTGCCTACCTACATGAGCAAGGACACTGGTCCTCATCACTGTCAGGAAGGGGCTTCATAAATATTTGTGGACTCAGTGACCCCCATCACCCATTCTGGGTCTGGCCAACCCTATTCTGAAGATATTCTGTCTCAGCAGTTGGGTACACGCTGACCTGGGCCGCGGGACTGGCTCTTGCCTGTGCAAAGTGAAGCCGTGCTATCTCCAAGTTGTTTCTTTCCCAGCAGTCCCAAGAAGATGGCAGAGCTCCAGGATGGAGGATGCCTGGCCCATGGACGGGGGTGGACAGGAAGGGCCGTCCACCAACGCACGCTGGACTGTAACGTGAGTGGTACAATGAAAAGTCATAGCATCAAGCCCTGGAGCCTTAGGCTGACCTGTTTTAGCAGCCAGTGAGGCACCCTATCAACTTACCCTGCTACACTTTTATAAAGAAGTACATACCTCACTATGTGATAAAGTTACCATGAAAATTCATTAAATGCCCTACAACCTCCTGCATCCATAATAATCATTTCAACAAAGAGGGAGAAGGGGACTGTCTGCAACAATGTAAAGCCAAAGACAATTCAGCCACCAAAACTAGCAAAGACCTAAATATGTCCATAGTAACCCCAGAGACAGCTACAGCTTAGGCCAGGGCTTCTCAGTCACGGCACCACCGACAGAGGACCAGATAATTCTTTGTTGTGGGAGGCTGTTCTGTACATTGTAGATTCTGGCAGTATCCCCAACTCCTGTCCACTAATGCCAATAATACACTCCCCAGCTGTGGCAAGAAAAACTGCCTCCAGGTATGGCCAAGTGTAACGTAGGAAGTGAAATCCTTTCTGGTTGGAAACCATTCATGCAGACAAGGTGTGATCGTAAGAAACGGCTTTGCTTTATCTGGGATGAAGATATATAAATTACAATCGGATATTAATTAATCAGATATTAATTTAATAATACCACTGCAGTCGAGCCCAAGGCCACTCATTTATTCAGTCCTTAGAAGGCCTCCCTGGCAGGTACACATCACGCTGCTCCAGGCCACAAAGGAAATGTCCAAGTTGGAACAAGATGCAAAAGCTGGTAGAAATGCCAACTTGTTGTCACCAGAAGCGGAGTCCAACTGCTGGCCCAAGCCACGCCCATAGTCTGCCTTTCTGATTTGAAAGGTGACCATGATCATCATCCTGGCTCCTCAAACAACAAAAGAATCAGAGGGTGACAGGGGGTCATTGACTAACGTGGAATAAACGTTTTTAACAAGGCCGTCCACTCTCAATCTGTCCTAATGAAGAAAACAGTGACAAAACTGACGAGAGGGGTAGGTGACTCGGGAATCACCAACAACATTCACCTTTGGCAAGGTCAGGCTGATTTTTTTTTTATTTTTACCTAAATGGATCTTCTTGAGAATTTTCTCTTACTCGGGTTCATGTTAAGTTGCTGCACACCTCCTGACTGCATGCCAGTTCTGAAAAAGAAAAGGGTAGCGGAGACAAAAAGGCTTTACGTGCAACGAGTGTCAGCATGGCTTACAAAGTGTCCCCTGGGAAAAAACATCTATATGTAATTCTAAATTTTTAAAAACACCCGTTGTGATCTACGCGGTTGTACACAGGACGAATCTCTTCTTCCCAGTCTGTCAAGTGCCTGAATTACTAAGAAAATGACTGCCCTCTTTGCAACGAACAAGATTAATCTAGGGCTAAACATTTCCAGTGGCCGTCTCTGGGTAGTTTATCTCTTCTTGTGACACTCATTGGCTCAACTCTACTTTGCAGACTAACAGCTACTTCCACTGATGGTGACTCATTATTTTTCCATTTGCAAATTCACCTGCTAAGAATGTGAAGTGACTTTTAAAAGCGCATGTGGTTAATAAATCTGTCACCCCCTCCACCATCTCCTGAGAGCGACCAACCCATTTGGGTTTATCTTGATGGACTTACAGCTTTGCCAACAGTCACTCTACTGTTCCTGCGAGCGGCTGTGATTAATCACCACCCTTCGGTTAAAGTCAATATCCTCCTCACATCATGTTGACAAAAAGAAAAATTTGATCGTAAGAAACGGCTTTGCTTTATCTGGGCTGAAGATATATAAATTACAATCAGATTATGTAGATAAAATACACGAGCTAAATTTATCTGCTGGTAACTAAGCTTGTCACATCACTTCTTAATGCCTCTGAAGAAAGGATTTATTTAAGTGCTGGAGTCAGCGGACAGTTGAAGAAAGGCCGATGCAACAACTCAAGAAAAGATCATTTGTAACGCATTTGAAATGACTTCTTAGGCCGGGCACGGTGGCTCACACCTATAATCCCAGCACTTTGGGAGGCCGAGGTGAGAGGATTGCCTGAGCTCATGAGTTGGAGACCAGTCTGGGCAACTTGGCAAGACCTCATCTCTACAATAAATGAAAAAATTAGCCGGGCATGGTGGCACGTGCCTGTAGTTCCAGCTACTTGGAAGACTGAGGTGGAAGGATTAGCTGAGCCCAGCAGGTTGAGGCTGCGGTGGCTGTAAGTGTGCCACTGCCCTCCAGCCTGGGCAACAGAGTAAGACTCCAACTTAAAAAATAAAATAAAATCATTTCCTTTCACTCTAGACATTACTAACTAAAATCTTTTCTTTTCCCTGGCCCAGAATTTTTTTTACAGAAAAAATTTAAATAAATGTCCAGCTAATTTTTAGAGGGATTTTATTTTTTATTTTTTAAAGACAGGGTCTCATTATATTGCCCAGGCTCGTCTCGAACTCCTAGACTCAAGCAATCCTCCCACCTCAGACTCCCAAAGTGCTGGGATCACAGGTGCGAGTCACCTCCCAGCCAGTTTTTGTTTTTGGCCACTTAAAAAAAATTTGGACATTCCTATGGCATAAGTCATAAGCAGACTACACTATTTCCCTCAGATCACAGGAGTGATAATGACAGAAACAGGGGCTCTGGAGGTCTCAGGGAGCTACGGCCCCATCCCAAAGCAGTCGACCTGCCACTGGATGACAGCTTGAGCACTCGATGAATCCGGCAAATGGACCATTTTCCACTTTTTCACAAGATATAAATGAAGGACAACACAGCCGCCCAGACTAGGAGGAACACAAGGGCTGAAGCCAGAGTACAATAAACTCATAGAGAAAGGAACACCGGAAGAACCCAGAAACGTTGTCCGAGATCCCACAGACGGGACAGCAGGCCAGAAACGGCCTTGTGTGGAGCCCACTCGGGCCTTGATCACTTACATAAATGCCCACCGATGAGCAGCAGATCAGTGGACGGAATAGCTCGGGACTCCACTCAGCTTAAGGGTCTGTTTTGTGTATGGTTGCTAGTGGCCTTCATAGGAGGACCCAGCGTTATCAACACGGTATTTACCGAACCTCTCAGGATGGAAAGTTATGCCGGAGTGATTGTTTTGCCTTTTGGTTAGTTATAAAGTCCTGATCTTAATTGCTTACCAAGTAAACAGGCTATCTATCTAATCCAATTCTGGAAGGAGACAGCATGTAGGAGTGAAAACTGGACTGGCTTCCTGGGATGTGGATGCATCCAGGTTTGGCTACATCAAAAGATGAATCAAGCCGGGCTTGGTGGCTCAACCTGTAATCCCGCGCCTTTGGGAGGCTGAGGTGAGTGGATTGCCTGAGCCCGCAGGTTCGAGACCCGCCTATGGACAACTTGGTGAGACCTCATCTCTACAATAAATCAAAAAATTAGCCGGGCATGGTAGCGGGCGCTTGTAGTTCCAGCTCCTTGGAAGGCTGAGGCGGAAGGATCGCCGGAGCCCAGCAGGTCGAAGCTGTGGTGGCCAGGAGCGGTCAATGCACTCCAGTCTGGGCAACAGGGTGAGACTCCAACTCAAAAAATAAAAAAATAAAAATAAAAGATGAATCAGAGGAGGAGAAGAGATCCCCTCACCTTTAGAGATCAGCACAGTCCTGCTGAATTATGTTCCCAGACATGACCAGAAGCCATAGACCTGAAAGGATGATCTTCAAAGCATCTACCTACCAGGTGCCAAGTCCCAAAGAACCTGGACATCGTACAAGTCATGAAGAAAATGCATTTTAAAAAGATGGAGAGTATAATATAATTGCTCTCACTGCAGCACTGTGTATGAAAAAAGAAGGAGCCAGACACAGTGGCTCACATCTGTAATCCCAGCACTTTGGGAGGCCGAGGCGGGAGGACTGCTTGAGGAATCGCTTGAGCCCTGCAGTTAGAGACCAACCTGGGCAACACAGCAAGACCTCATCTCTTCAAACAACAAAAAACACGAGCCGGGCACAGTGGCATGCACCTGTAGTCCCAGCCGTTCGGGAGGCTGTGGCAGAGGGACAGCCTGAGCCCAGGGGGTCGAGGCTGCAGTGAGCCATGACCGTGCCGCTGCACTCCAGCCTGGGCGACAGAGTTAAGACCCCAAAGATTCAAAAAGAACAAAACAAAAGCACACAAACAAAACTTAGAAGGAGCAAGGATTCGATGTTGACCTAATAAATCACGCAAAACAGCCATCCTGCAGCCCAGCAGTGAAGACAAAAAGTCAGTCTCGTCTCCCAGGGTTGTGAGATGGTGGAGAGAAACAAGCAAGTCGTAGAACGGCGCATCACGAGACCCCGCCTTCTCACTCGCATTGCTAACATCAAATGTCTTCGTGAGAATATCTTAATAGGAAGAGGAGTATATCTAGAGTACATCTTTTTGGCAGGTTTTCTCCGAGAAGTGAGTTTGAAGGGGAGAAAGGAAGAGGACTTTCACTCTTTATACTTATCTACTGTTGTTGTTTTCATTTCCAAATTACCATTGTCATTTTTAAACTAAAAGTACAGAGCTAAACCCCACTGAAATTATTACAGAGTCAAGCAACCCCTTGTCTGAGCATGCAATAAGAGTCAAGTGTGAAATCCTTGTTCGTTAGGTTTCATTCTCTTTTTTTCTTTTCTTTCCTTTTCTTTTTTTTTTTTTTTTTTTGAGTCGGAGTCTCTCTCTGTCCCCAGACTGGAGTACAGTGACATGCTCACGGCCACCACAGCCTCGACCTGCTGTGCTCAGGTGATCCACCCGCCTCAGCCTTCCAAGTAGCTGGAACTACAGGCATGCACCACCGTGCCAGGCTAAATTTTTTATTTATTGTAGAGATGAGGTCTCGCCCAGTTGCCCAGGCTGGTCGCAAACCCCTGAGCTCAGGCAATTCTCTCACCTCCACTTCCCAAACTGCTGGGATTACAGGTTTGAGCCACGGCACCCGGCAGGTTTTATTGCTAGCTCCAGACTAGTATTTGTCCTCAAGAAGAAAAAAAAAAAAAAGAGCAACAACCCTCTGATGAGAGGCAGGTCACAAAGGGCTAATCAAAATGTAACACTGAACAGTTTTAGTTGTTTCCTCCTGCTCAGGTGCAAATGACTGAATGTGCTAACTACATGTGAGTTACAGAAAACCCACAAAGCATTACAGCATTATTGCTACATAACAGTAAACACACAATGTTGAACTTCTAGGCAAGGACACAAACTAAATAAGACATTCTCCTGATGAAGAAACAAGCACCTCCCAGTAAGGGTTTTTAACCATTATGAGATCTCTGGGGTTGACACCCATCCCCAGCACCCTTGGTATGAGATGTTAGGTTATCATCTCAGCCCTTCTTCGACTACAGCTTTCTGGAAAGGCAAGGGCATTATACCTTACCCATGCATCAAGAACCAGACCCAATTTCCCAGCCCCAAAATGTAAAATGTCATGGTCCACGGTGAAGGTTCACTGTCATGTGTCAATGCGATTGGGCCATGGAGTCTGGGTATTTGGTCAAACGTGATTCTGGGTGCTTCTGGATGAGATAACATTTGAACTGATAGACTGAGAAGAGCCGATGATAGGTGGGCCGTATCCAATCAGTCGCAGGCCTGAACAGAATCAACGGCTGGCCCTCCTCCCAAGTAAGAAAGAATTCTGCCCACCTGACTGCCTTTGGGCAGAGATAATGGCTTTTTCCTGCCTTCTCATTCTCACTACCAGCTTTTCCAGGGTCTCCAGCCTGCCAGCCTTCAGACTGGAGCCATTTCATCAGTTCTTCTGGTCCTCGGGCCTTCAGATGAGGACCAGAGATGACACCGTGAGCTCTCCTGAGACTCCAGCTTGTGGACTGCCGATCTTGGGACAGGCCAGCCTTCATAACCACGTGA